CATACAGTAGTGTTAACTATAGCCATCATGTTGTACATTACATCCCTACTACATATTTATCTTATAACTGGAGTTTGTACCTTTCGCCACCTGCATCCAATTCCTTTCCCTCCCACCTTCTGCCTCTGGTACCACAAATCTAATCTCTTTCTATGGCTCTGTTTTTTTGTTTGTTTTTTACATTTCATATATAAGCAAGATTGTATTGTATTTATTTTTCTCTGATTTATTTCACTTAGCCTAAAGCCCTCAAGGTGCACCCATGTTGTTGCAAATGGCTGAATTTCCTCCTTTGCTTGGCTGAATAGTGTTCTATTGTTTATATATTCCACAACTTCTTCATCTATTGATAGACATTTAGGTGGTTTCCATGTCTTGGCTATTGTAAATATTGCTGCAGTGACATAAGGGTGTAGATACCTCTCTGACATAGTGTTTTTGCTTCCTTCAGATATCTTCCCAGAGGTGGAATTGCTGGATCATATGGTATTTCTATTTTTAATTTTTTGGGGAGCCTCCATACTGTTTTCCACAGTGGCTGCACTAGTTTACAATCCCACCAGCAAGCACAAGGGTTCCCTGTACTCCACATCCTCATCAGTATTTGTTATTTCTTGTCTTTTTCATGCTATTCTACTAGGTGAGGTGATATATCACTGTGGTTTTGGTTTGCATTTCCCAGATGATGAGTGATGCTGAGCATTGTTTCATTTACCTGCTGGCCATTCCTATATCTTCTCTGGAAAAGTGTCTATTCAAGGTCCTCCGGCCATTTTTTAAAATTAAATTTATTGATTTTGAGAGAGAGCAGGGGAGGGGAAGAGAGAGAGAGAGAGAGGAGAAAGAGAATCCCAAGCAGGCTCTGCATCCTCAGCACAGAGCCCAACATGGGGTTCGATCACACAAACCATGTGTGGTCACACGATCACACCATGATCATACCATGTGATCATACCATGATCACATGATCATGACCTGAGCTGAAATCAAGACTCAGAAGCTTAACTGAGCCACCTAGGTGCTCCTCTTTTGGCTATTTTTAAATTGGGTTATTTGTTTTTTGTTTTTTGTTTTCTTTATTATTGATTGCATGAATTCTTTATATATTTTGAATATTAACCTCTTATCAGATGTATGATTTGCAAGTATTTTTTTCCCATTCCATTGGTTGTCTTTTCATTTTGTTGATCATTTCTTTTGCTGTGAGTTTTGCCAGTTCTGAACATCATAAAAATGAACTCACACAGTATATATTCTGATGGGCTTGGTTTCATTCACTCTACAGTCTTCTGTGAAATTCACTCATATTGTGCACAGTGGGGGTTTGTTAATTTTCATTGTTAAATTGTTAAATAGTATTCATCACATGACTATTATCCACTCAGTTGATGAGAATTTCAGTTGTCACCAGCCTTAGATATAGCATTTTTGTACCTGTCTTTTAATGAGCATATATATATATATATATATATCCTCTGTTGGGTGTATATTTAATGAATATATATATATATATATATATATCTTCTGTTGGGTGTATATTTAGGAGGGGAATTTCTGGGGGATAGGGTACATGTATTACTGACTTTAGTAGATACTGCCAACATTTTCTGAAATAGTTGTACCAATTTATCTCCCACTGCCATGCATAAGAGTTCTAGATTTTTCATGTCTTCATCATTTTATACCATTGGGTTGCTTATTTTTTTTTTTTTAATTAGACAAGGATGTCAAAAGTATGTAGTGATATCTCATTGTGATTTTAATGTGCATTTGCCCATGACTAATAGAGTTTAGCATGCTTTTATGTTTATCTCCCATTTGTATATCCTCTGTTATGAAGTTTTAAAAATGGGTTGGTCTTGGGGCGCCTGGGTGGCTTAGTCGGTTAAGCGTCCGACTTTCGCTTAGGTCATGATCTCGCGGTTCGTGGGTTCGAGCCCCGCGTCGGGCTCTGTGCTGACTGCCAGCTCAGAGCCTGGAGCCTGTTTCAGTCTGTGACTCCCTCTCTTTGACCCTCCCCTGCTCGCGCTGTCTCTCTCTCTCTCCTAGATATAAATAAAACATTAAAAATTAAAAATAAATAAATAAATAAAAATGGGTTGGTCTCTTTTTAATTTTTTAATGTTTATTTATTTTTGAGAGAGACAGAGAGAGAGAATGAGTGTGGGAGGGGCAGAGAGCGAGAGGGAGACACAGAATCTGAAACAGGCTCCAGGCTCTGAGCTGTCAGCACAAAGCCCAACACGGGGCTTGAACTCACCAACTGCGAGATCGTGACCTGAGCCAAAGTCGGATGCATAACCGACTGAGCCATCCAGGTGCCCCAAGGAAGTCTGCTCTTTGCTGAAACCCAGGATCGAAGCAGGGACCTTTACTCTCTTTCTCTTATTCATTATTATTTACAACCTGTTTTAGTGTCAAAAGAAAACTACCAAAGCCTCCCTGTTACTAACATTTTCTCTGATATCTGTGGCCATTCCTTCCATGTCTTCATTTAGAAAGAGATGTGGAGAATCCAGATGGTATTGGGCACACTCAAGTGTCTTTGAAAACTGCAAAGGGCTGTTAAAGGCATGATTATCATCATTGGAAGGATTCTTACAGAAGCTGGCTTTTTTTTTTCCAGAATTGGATGTTCTAGAAGGGGTGCTTACACAAGGTAGGGAGAGGGTCCACATGGAGGGTGTCAGTCTTTCTGATTTATTCCATTTAAGTTTCCAGGACACTTCATACAGGCCCCTCCTCCCCCATCACACTGCCATAATTATTTACCTGTTCATTTGTCTCTTGTCCTAGACCTGCATTTGGCAGGATCTTCATTCGTTCTGCTGGAGCCAGGGAGGGATACAAACAGGCTTTGGCCCAAGGCAGCTCCTAGGGAAACCACCCTCAGATAGGACAGCCCCTGCCTACACCTCATAGCTTCCTCTACTCTTCCTTCATAACATATGGCTTAGTTCGTGATTACGTACTTGTGTGATTGTTAGATTTTTTACATTCTCCTCTAGCCTATAAACTCCTTAAAACTGAGATCCTGTCCCTTTTCTTCAGGATCCTACCTTACATGTTTACTAGTGCTCAGAACACTGTAGGGAGTTAGTAGTAGGTAACAAATACTTGAAGTGGTTTGGATCTGAATCCCAGAGCTGCCCCGTATTATGGCATGGCTCCAATTTTCCTTAAGTCTCCAGGAAATGGAATTATTTCTTCTTGAGACCGGTTGAGTCTGCCAGTTGAGTGCTACTGGAAAGGTGTGGTAGAAAGACTAGAAGATTAGCAGTACAGGGGCTTGGTCTCCCAGTCCCTCCTCTAATTTGCCGTGTTTCCCTTCTCCCAGCAAGTTATTCTGTCTATCTGGACCTTTGTTCCTGTGGATTTGAAGGGAAAATTTGGACTTTGACCTTGAGGGTCTCCCTAGCTGCATACTGGGGCCCAAAGGTACATTTCTGCCTGCAGGGAAAGGCAGGAAGTGCTGAGCTAGTGTCACGGCCTGAGCAGGCTTATCTAGAAGTGAAGAGCAGACTGAGTGACTTTGGTGGCAAGAGCCACGAGCCACGTGGGCTTTATTCCCCCATATCCTGAAACCAAATGAAGTTTGCCTGCTTGAATTTTGAAATTGCTTAGAATCCATGGCTCCTTTTTTTCCTCCCATTTTCTCTTTTGAACAGGAATGTCTGTAACTGTTATTCTATGCCTGTCCCATCGCTGAATTTTGGGAGCTGTCCTGGGTTACACATTTACAGATGGAGAGCAATTATGCCTCAGGATGGAGTAAACCCAGAAACCCATCCTTACTTGACTTGGATGATTTAGTTTAGATGATGAGATCTGAGACTCTGGAGTTAAGACTGAGATAAGATTTTGGATTTAAGTTGCTGCTGCAATGTGTTGAGACTTTGGGGGATGTTGGGATCTGGTGAATCTATTTTGCACATGGGCTGGATGTGACTCCTTGAGGCCTAGAGGAGAGTCAGCTGTGGTAGGCGCATGATCACCCCTCAAGACATCCATGTCCTGATCCCTGGGTTCTATGCATGTGATATGTGACATGGCAAAGGGGAATTAAAGTAGCAGATGGAATGAAGGTTGCTAATCAGCTGACCTTAACACAGGTAGAGCATCCTGGATAATAAAAGTGGGTCTAACTAATCACCAGAGCCCGGAATGTGGAAGACATAGCAGAAGTAGAGAACCAGAGACTGCAGAATGGAAAGGACCTGGCCCAATGCTGCTGGCTTTGAAGATGGAGAAAGGGCCACAAACCAAGGGATGCAGATGGCCTCTAGAAGCAGGAAAAGACCAGGAAACAGCTTATACCCCAGAGCCTCCAAAACTGTCAGATAGTAAATCTGTGCTGTTTTAAGCCACTGTGTTCACAGTCACTTGTTACAGCAGCAATAGTAAATGAACATGAGTCTTGGCCAGCCATGTACTCTTCCAGGATCTCAGACAGGTTGTTTCATCTTTGGGTTCCTTTCAATCCCTCATTTCTCAAAATAAGAACTACCATAAGGATTAAAAGTGACAAACAGGTAGAAGTGCCTGGCACCCAGGTGCTCAATGAGTGTGAAATTTCCAGCTTCCCCTCTTCCTCCAGGCTGTGGAGACCCAGGGAGAGAAAGCAAGGGCCAACTGCCATTCTCCGGGGAGCACCCTCCACTCTCCTTCTTTTAATGTGTAAAGGACTCCCTTGGGAGCTCCCCAAGCACACCTTATCAGGAGCCCTGCTTCTTATCTGCCTTTGGGGGACCCACTAGCTCCTCCCTCCTTGACAAAACCCCTTTAGAATACAAAAGCTCTTTAGAAGAGCCTGAGACAGAGCAGAGCCAGAGTCTCCCTGGGCAAACAGGCTTTCAGAGATGAAAGAGCAGCCAAGGGAGCTATGGCCACCATATTTCCCACTGGAAAGATGAGGAAGTGGTGCCCTGAGGTGAAGCTAGCCCAAAGAGCTCAGATAGCTCGCCTCCTACTGTACACAAACACCCTCACACATTTCAGGATTCCAACTCCTTCTTTAGTTGTGTTATGAGCTTTTATTTAAAAAGCACATTTAATACAAGTATAGTTTCGCAGATACAAGTTTTCACTTTGTATTCTACAAAAGTCTTTGAATATTATTCTCTTTACAAAATGGAACCTTACAAAAATACTGACACTTTAATGTTTTTATACAGTTTTCTCTAGTTGCAGTTATTTCTTTCATTATAAAACAATGTCTACCACAGAACTACGATATTTTAGTTGATATTAAAAAAAATTAACTCCATGCTTTTTTAAGCAGCTAATGTAAATAACACAGGTCGAGACACAATTTATAATCATAGTGGATGTAGCTAAAATTGTTTCAGAAATAATATCTTACATAGTTAACTTTTAATGTTTTATACATTATTTATATAATATTTATATATAAAAATCATAGCTTGCTAGAAGTGGAAATGAAAAGGACGGCTTCTGGAGTAAGGACGTACATGTGCTTGATCCATGTGGTTACATTTAGCCCTTAGAAAGGTCTGCATCCGTGATCTGAAAGTATTTCTTCCTTCCTCCTCTCCTCGAAGGTTCAGTAGAAAGGACCCCTGTCTACCGCCCAGCGTGGGACCTTGCCTGGAAGGACACTTACGGACAGAGGATGAGAAGAACTCTACGGAGATTGAACCCATGTGTTCTGCCCAGCAGAACCTACCAAGAACTGCCCTAGAGATCAACCCCAAGACAATAGTGCTTTACAGAGCTCCGCAAGAGCAGCCCCCACAGAGCGGCTCGTCGCTCCGAGATCTGGAAGGGCGGCCTCTCAGGCACGGGGCCATCTGCCGCTCTGGCTCATTCTGACTTTGAGTAGCCGCCGAAAGGTTGGTGAGTTTTTCACCTTGCCCCTTCGCTCCATCTCTTGTACGTAAGGCTGCTTCCCGTCAGCTGGCGGCAGAGCACGCCTTTGCTGGTGTCGGGACCCTCCCGGGAGATGCCCCCCCCCCCATGGGCACACAGCAAGGACTTCCAGGGAGAAAGCAGTGACCAAAGCTCACTATGACCAAGAGCGTGCAGGTGCCGGGTGACTGGTGAACACAACAGGGGCTTCCTGCAGCTGAAGTCCTCGCATCGCAGGATGATGCGGCCAAAGAAGACAAACGAGGGCCAGCACCCTCTATCTCTTTTGAAATTGTGCTATTTGTGAAACTCACTCATCCACAAAGAGTCTCCTAATTGCTAAAGTGAGGGGCCGTGGCTGCTGGCCTGTGGGCTGGGGGAGTGAGGGAGAAAGGCCTCAGGACTGGGAATCTGGATTCAGGATCTCATGGCCTCACTCGGCACACCTGCTCTGCCCTTATATTGAACAGAACAGAACCGAACTTCCCGAACCAAAGGCACAGCACAGATTAGAGTGGTGTGGACCGAGAGACACGAGACGGGAGCCCCCCCAGTGGCTGCTGTCTTGATTCAGTGCTACTTCTGGCATTGTGTGCTACAACATGAATTTGATCTTTTCTCACAGGCCTGGGGTTCCTCGAGTCACAAGTGTGACTGGCAGACTCTACTCAAATCATTTTAGTGTCTGTTCCAGAACAAGCCCGTGTTCACTAGAACATGAACACTTAGACCAATTGCACATCCAGGATTTCGGCACTTGGTGTTAGTTTCCTGTTGTTTCCACATAGGTGAATCCTACCTATTTTGGAAGGCCACAAAGTAAGACTTTTTTTTTTTCCTTTTTAAAATCAGTTGGGCAAAAAGTTTTTCCCTACATTCTACTGTCTGATGAGATTGGAGAGCAGCAAGAGCTTGCTGTCAGCAGTCATTTTATAAAACAGCTCAGGAGGTGGGCGGCAGCTACACCATGTTGTGGTGATTGTTCCTGTCGATAATGTCCACAGGCGAAAGGATGTCCTTCCGGAGAGCAGGGGGAGGCAGCGAGAGGGTCGTCTTGGTCTTGAAGAGGTCGGACACAAAGAAAACCTAGAAGCACAAAATCAGACATCCAAATTAATAACTGGCATCTAAGGTCTGGGGACAGGCAAAGGGAAGGTCATAGGGGTACATAATTTGGGAAAAGGGGACCCTGAACCATAGATCTCTGACGAGGAAAGGATCCTAGAGAGATTATATAGACACCAACTTGTGTTATATAGACAGGGAAACTGAAGTCCAGAGAAGGACAGTGACATGCTTCAGCTTGCACAGACATGCGGGGAGTAGAATTCTGCTCTCTGGACTCTCAGTCCAGTGCTTCATATCCAAAATGCTACTTCCTTCTTTCTCAAGGCAAATGAACAGCAATGAAAACTAAATTCCTACGTAAGGAAGCAAGTCATAATTAGTCACGCTCATTAATCTACGCTACTTTCCCTTTCCTCACAAAGAAATCTAGGGTGTAACCACAAGAGATCAGCCAACATGAATTCCTATCAGCAGGAGTGGAGAAGGAAGCCGTTGTGACCATGTTTTCCTGAAAGTCCGGATCTCAACAATTTGATGGGGGTGCAGAAGCTGGGGTTTTGTTGCTGAGGGAGTCAGCAACTAACCCGGAGGAGAGGTCAATGCAAAGTCCTATTGCTCTTTCCCAAAGTCCTTCCTCCTTGTGAGCACGAGACCTCACCCGGTCTTAGAATCTCTGAGGAACATTACGGACACCCAACTTGCAAAGGTACAATGATGGCTCAGGCGTAGCTCCTGTCTCGACTGGCTTCCGATGACGGATCCAAGAACCTGATGAGTTAGTGGAGTACAGAAAATCTATGCTTCGTATTACATGGCTAAATAAATACACAGACACCCACTTAGGCCATTCAGCAATAGGACTTTGTATTGAGTAACCATAAGAGGTAGTTATCGGTCGTGTTATTTAATTGGAAACACATGGCAGAGTTTTGAAATGGAGACTAGAGCACCTCCAAATTTCCTGTGCCTAGCAGTTTTCTGGAGTGGAAATCCTTGTCCTGCCACAGGTCACGCACTCACCAATAACGATGGCACTGTGACTTCATTTTGGACACGGTAGAGGCTAAAGAGCTATTTTTCTTTCTTTCTTTCTTTCTTTCTTTCTTTCTTTCTTTCTTTCTTTCTTTCTTTCTTTCTTTCTTTCTTTCTTTCTTTCTTTCCTTCCTTCCTTCCTTCCTTCCTTCCTTCCTTCCTTTCTTTCTTTCTTTCTTTCTTTTTTATTTGAGAGAGAGAATGAGCTGAGGAGAGGAGCAGAGGAAGACAGAGAAAACCCCAACCAAGCTCCACACTCAGTGTGGAGCCAGATGTGGGGCTCGATCCTCTGACCCTTGGATCATGCATCAAGGATCCACGGATCGCTCCGTGGACCACCTGTTGAACCAACTCCCATAATGTCCTTTCTGTAGTCAGACAGCAATCAACCAAGTGGCTCAGAAAGCACAGCCAGAAACCGGGGGTGCTGATTACCCATGAGATCAAGGGACCAGAAACAGAAAACAGAGACTTACCGGCCGCTACAAAACCCTGACACCTTTTGAATTTTGTAGCCATTCTATACATCACCTACTCAAAGGTTTGATTATTAATTATTTATAAAAAAGCAATAAATAAGAAAAGATGGCTGGGATGTTTCTGTGCTATTATCAGAAAGTGAAATCTTGCCAAGAAACGTTAACATTTTAATACATTTACAGTCCAAGTGTTATAGTATGTACCATTTTGCAAATAAAAAAAATTAAGACTTCTGTCCCTTTTCTTTTCCAAGGATGTGTGAACAGTGAGGACTCCTGGCTCCTAGCCAGGGCCAAACCTGAGAACCAGGAAAGGAAAGATGTGTACCCAACCCTGCCAGGAGGTACTAGGCCCCCTGGCTGGGAATCCTTTACATGTGGTCAGAGAAGGGACTTTCAAGTGCTTCCTATATAAGGAAATACTGACGACCATGACTGAAGTTAAATGTGGAAGTAATTACACTTTTCAACCCTTCTCTAACAGGTGCAGAGCCAGTATCCCCATCTCTACCTGAAAATTACCCTCTCCTTCCATCTTTACTTTGTTTTAGAGGAAGGCTTCAATCACGCCCTCCATGGCTGGCTCTCAATTGCACTTATTCCTGCCCAGCAGGCGTCCGCAGCAAATAAGGGCTCTCCTTGCTCTTATTTCTTAAAGATCTTTCTCCCAGCTTCATCCCACCTGCCAAAGGCAAATGTAGCATGGGATGAACCCCTATCTGCCAAGAAACATCTTCCCTTAGAGTATGTGACACCACCTTAATCTACTGGCTTATTTCCCAGGTTAATTTGTTGAGCTCATTATCTACTGCATATTAGAGTTTCCGTTTCCCAGCTGCAAGAAGGGATAATATGGAAGTTAAAGGCAAGAATGTACTTGAGGAGACTTAAACCTGTGTCTGGTACACAGTTCAATAAAAGACATTCCCCTCTGCAAGGCTCTGAGTCCCAAAGTAATGACCTAATGGTCTACTGTAAGCCTCCCAAGTCTTGCTTGTCAGCCTGTCCTTCTAGATGGGAGGCTTCTCGGGGATGGAACTGTGGCCCTAATGATCACCCACAACACCTACATCACCCACAACATTTAGCACTGAGCCTTGTCCACATGAGGAGCTCAATATATGTTTGTTGTTGAGGGGGTGCCTGGGTGGCTCAGTCGGTTAAGCATCTGACTCTTGATCTCAGCTCAAGGTCATGATCTCATAGTTCATTGGGTTTGAGCCCTATGTCCATGCTTGGGGTTCTGTCTGTCTCTTTCCCTCTCTCTGTCCCTCCCCTGCTCGTTCTCTTTCTCTCTCTCTCAAAATAAATAAACTTAAAAAAAATTCTTGTTGAATTTCTAAACTCCTCTCTACTGGAAGCAAGCACTCTGGCCTTGGGTCTTATCAGCATACACAAATCCCCCAGACTTTGGGCGAACCACACACTAGTACACTGCATATACGTGGCCAGGCGGCAAGATGAAAAGTTGAGTCAGGTCCAGCAGAACCCCCCCCTTTAAGCTGCATTTCACTTTCAGCGTGGCTTGAGCTTACACAAACACTTTTTTGGGATCATGAAACTCGATCCTGTTTGATCCAGGACTCAAAAAGGGTTCGGTCTTTCTAACACTTGAACAGCAGAGCACAAAAAGGACTAGCAGAAGTGAAAACCTTGCTCCGAGCAGTTCCATTTCCTGCAGAAGGTGATCTCCACCCAAAAAGAAAACGCAGAGGCAAAGGCGGGGAAGGGTCTATACAAATTAGGTAGCTATCTCATGTCCAGGGAACCACTCCCAGCCCACAGCCCCACTTCCACACATCTCTGCTGTGAGAAGAGAGCACAAGAGATAATAAACACAGTGTCCGTGAGAGCCGGAAATCTATGCCCTAGGCACCAAGAAAAGTTCTTGTTTAAACCGCCCTGAGCTTTTGCTTTCAATTCCATCTCTCCGATTCTTTGAGTTTTATAAAGTAATTTTTTTTTAATGCAACCAGTAACGCGTATTGAACATCTGCTCTGTGACAAGCCCTGAGATTATAAAGATAAAGATACCTAGGAGTCCTTTGCCCTCCGAAAGCTCACAGGGCAATAAGGGAGAGATCCAAGCAAATAGGTAGCTACAAGATAGTGTTTTAAAGATCATGATAGAGGGGAGCCAGGGGGGTTGAAGAAGCAGCTAACCCAGACTGAAGTGGAGGGTGGGGGGGGGTTTAGAAGGCTTCCCCCAAAGGAGGTGTATTCGAGCTTAGCTCAGTAGGAGTTCACCAGGTGGTGAATGCCAGGAATGTTGTTCTAGGCAGAGAAGCAACGCATGCAAAGGCACAGGAGTAAGAGAGAACAGCATGTTCAGGACTGCAGGGAGCTCTCAGCATGGCTGGGGCCGCGCAGCCAGTAAGGCTGGAAAGGAGAGGGCCTGAGAAGGTCCTGAGAAGCCTCCTAGGACATGTTAAGGAATTCGGACCTTATCCTCTTGGCTTTAGGAGACACTGTCAAGGCTGTAGCAGGGAAGTAGCATGTTAAGAAGACTGTATCTAAGATGCAGAAGGAGTCAGAAGGGGAATGGAGAACCCGAAGGCAAGTGTACCAAGTCAGGACCCGCAGAATCCAGGACAGGAGGAGTCCCTCACTGTCACCAAGCCGTGAAGATGAAGAAGAGACAGATTTCTGGAATGTGGAAAGCAGACTGCAGTGGATAGAGTTGACAGAATGGGTATATATGTGTGTAGGTGGACAGGTGTGCAGGGAAGGCAATGCTTTCCTTTCTAATTCTGCATTTCACTCTAGAAATCTTTGCCCTTATTCCCCCCAGAACTCTTAAGGCTTGGGTAACTGTGCCAGGGGAAAAAAATCTAGCTCTGGTTTTCTCTGCCTTCTAATATTTGGGGTCCCTCTGATAGTACCTTGGGGAAGTGGTTCTGGCCTTCATCTGAGTCAAAATGACAGGCTATTCTATGACCTGAGTGTGCAAGATGCCTTGATGGACCCAAGCCCTCAGGACAGTGGAGTCCTTCACTACAAACAAGGCAACCCCAGGCTGAGGAACCCCATTCACTCTAAAGAGGAGGTAAGAAGCGTACAGGGAGCCGCCATCCTCACCCTACCACTGCGTCACCCTCTCCCCCTCCCCATTCAGCACGTGCAGCACTGGCAAAGAGCTCTGCCCACAAGAGCAAGAGACTTGTCTTCAAATCCAACCTTTGCCATTTTCAGTAAAATCCCTAAATGAGGGACACAGTACCCACCTCAGAGGGTTACTCTAAGGATGTGATGTAGCAAAAGGCACAAGTGTGACAATGTGCCACCAGTGAAAGGTTAATAAATGGGAGCCATGGTCACTGGCTCATGAGTTCAGTGCCTACCTACACATCATTTCTCTGCCCCTGCCCCTTGTGCAGGAAGACAAAAAACAAGAGAAGGAACTAGAAAAAAGGAAAAGGAGAGCGAGGGGGGGGGGGTGGCGGGGAAGGGAGAAGGATGATTAAGAATATAAGTCAATAGGTGAAAAGTCAAGCCAGACAGGAAGAT